CCAGGAGGTGACCGCTGCTCCTGCCCTTCTGCCGCCGGGCCGCCCCACTGTCCCGCCTGAGGACGATCAATACCGGCGCTGACCCCGGCAGCGGCCGGGCGCTCCTCTCCACGTGTGCGTAGCCCCCGCCCCCCCGCTGCCGGAAGCGCCAGGCCGTCGGTGCGTTCAGGTACCCGGCGCTCGCGCGTGTGTGCGCGGGTATTTGCGGCACGCCAGACCTGAACGGATCCGCCGTCGCCTCGTCGCTCTTTGTGACCGAGAGAGCCACGCTCGGGTCGCGTTTCAATGAAGAGGTCGACGAATGAATGAATGCGGAGTGAACTGTGAATGGGCCGGCGTGCGTGTGCCACGTATGCTGCACAGTGGGCAAGCGAGCGTACACTGGTGAGTAAGACATTGCGCTGGTAATTGCTGGACATGACATTCTGTGATGAGACCTGGAACTGACTGATCGACAGGTTTAAAAGAAAGTTTCGTGGGAATAGTGGCGAGAGACGAAGCGAGAAACCTGGACTGCGGAATTGTCGCCTTGCACTTTTTGCAGCCGCATGCACTTGGTCACGTCTGTTTTATTTTTAAGACGCTGCCTCTCGGCTCAGTATTTGTATTTTAATGTGTAATTCTTTGCCATTGTATCATAGGACTCATTGGGGGTATAGTGATGCTATGCATGCTCCTTAGCATTTAAATGCAGAAGGTTCGTCCCGATAGCCCAGTTTTCTAAAGCGCCTGTCTTCCGATTCGACCACCCGTGGCGGAGTGGGCTCGAGTTACTCTGGGCGCTCGCTATTTGCCCCTGACTGAGATTGCCTGAGGCCGGTGGCCACGGTCGCGCTAAAGGTCAGGTGACGTCAACGTGCAGGATGGAGGTCAGACTTGTGCGGTATGTGACAGGAATGTTTCACAATTGGAGATATTGAAGCAAAGACGAGATATGATGGAACCAGCTCACTCATAAGCATTCGTATACTTTTTAAGTGGAAAGGACTGTTCTAGACAGCACATTTTTGTTGAATAAATGCGCTCCTCATTGCGCCATGGTTTGATTACGTTGTCGTATATTGCACAGCATTGATTGAGAGCCAATTGAATGTCTTGAAATCGCGCCCACGAACTCCAGATATGAACGTCTCGACAATTTGTTTTTGCCTTGATCGCGGCATGGCTTATGGAATGGCAGGATTTGAATAGCGTTAATATCACGTCATGAATGCAATGTAGACTTTGAAATGCTTCCCTCGATATACCTTTCCGCATTTTCGCGGGTATGTAGCAGAGGGGCTTAGGTCTTAAGAAAAGCGGGATTGTGAACAGCACCTAAAGGCCTTCAAGATAGCTATTTCAGTTCAAAGCTCATAGAAATGTGAAACACCCCTTACGGCTTTCACCGCAAAATTCTGCCGCAGACCCGTAATTTCACGACTGTGTAATGAAGTCAGAACTTATGCAACAAGCACTCTTAAAGTAGACGTGCGATTCTAGAAATCCATGCAATCAATACGTTCGGACTAAATGTAAAAAGGAGATGAAGAAACTTGTTAGCCATACGCCCAGGATATTGCAACAGGCAAGTGTACCGGTTTGCCCATAGACAAAACACACCATCATTTGACGAACACTATTGTTATATAACGATGCTTATTCGCCATCAATATGAGGCTTCAGACTTACTTTCACATCAAAAAACCCTGTTGGAATGAAACGATGGCTTTGTTGGCAAAAGGTTCTCCTAGCAATGATCATGAGGTGCCGCCCATATTGATTAGTGTATTTGCCCGTCCCGTTTTGCGTAGCGCCGTCCATGGGCTGAATGGCGGGTCACTGAATGATGACA